GGACTGCATTCAGTTAGTTTTTTTTTTCTTTATTTTGCCTACTCTCTTATGTAATGTTCTTGGCACTGCGGCAAATAAATAAATGAACCACTTCTTACATCTTGCAGTTTGAAGACAAAGCAAGAGGCATAAAAATTACTCTCACTTTAATGTTCCTGCGTATTCGAAATAATATTTGTTGTGTGGTAATACAAATTTCTCTCATAATGCCACTTTCGTTCAGTTTAGAATTTGGCGATACAATGAGATGGCATGAGTATACATTGGTTACCTTAAGCTTCAAATCTGTCTCCTGTTGAAGTCTACCAAAGGGCAACCCTGGCGGGATCCTCTGTGCGCTGCAGTTGCTGCTTGCTCCTTACGAGCCGGGCCTGTTCTTTTGCCGTGACTGCAGCATCGGCCCCTGCCCCTTCGAACATAAATTCTCTCACGGATGAGATGTCGGCGCTGTTTTTGGAAAGTTGTAAGCTGTTGGGACGCTCGCACCATCCGTGCTGCCCTTATGCGGAAGTTGTCGGCTGAACCTTCCGGCGACGCTGAACTCTTCACAAAAGTTAATTAGAGCGCGAAAACTTGACACGATCACTCACACACGCACACACCCATGCATCAAACACACAGCGCTCACTTCCAACTGATTTATTCATAGCTCGAAGGCTTCAATATATACAGGACACATTGTGCGCACACACACCAAAGAAGGCCGAAAAAGTGAACATTGGCCAAACCGAACGGTGTATTAATGATCGATTAAGGGAACACGCCCAAAAATTAACGAAAAGAGATGACAAGTATGCGCACCTGGTTGCGCATGTCATCTCGTGTGGTTGTGAAGCACGATTTTCTGAAACGAAGATTCTGGGCAGAAGCGCAAGTAAAACTGCACGTGAAGTGTTAGAGGCCTTTTTTCATTGAAAAAAATAAAGATCACTGTGTAAGCGCCCCTTCAATTTCGTTGTTACCATGCGAACTTCAGTTTATCTCTCTAAGGCTATGACATTGATTAACTGTACGTTTTGATAATGTATGCTGTTGGCCTTCTTTGGTGTGTGTGCGCACAATGTGTGCTGTATATATTCAAGCCTTCGAGCTATGAATAAATCAGTTGGAAGCGAGCGCTGTGTGTTTGATGCATGGGTGTATGCGTGTGTGAGTGATCGTGTCAAGTTTTCGCGCTCGAATTAACTTTTCTGAATGCTCTACCAACTAGCCCAACAACAAGTTCTCTTAAGTCTTGAACTCTTTACGCCCACGTGTGCGGCGCCCATCACATGATGGTTGTTTACATCCCTCCTTTACCTGCCGACCAGCTTGACGGCTGTCCTTGGCCGGGAGTGACGCGCGCGTACAGGGTCGGGCCGAATTACCCCATTTTCCATCCTCTCTCCTTCCCTTCTCTCCTACATTCCTTGCTCTCCCACTGCCTGATGGGATGGCCCCCACTGAGAGGGACAGTTACAGCGTTGCACTTTTTTCTTTATTTTTTTTCTCATTCAAAACCGCTCCGAGCGGGCTCCGCGGCACAGCTGCGAAGGCCTGAACGACGTCACTGACGCGCCGCTCCCAATGGCGTGCGCGCATGGATGCGACGTGGACAACGACGTAACCGAGTGTCACAAACGACTCCAATTTTCGGAGCATCCGCGGGCCCCACCTACCAAGGAAGGGCGCTTTTGTGTTGGGGGACGACATCCGGCGACTATAACGACCCAGCGTGGCGCCGGCTCGTCTTCCCTGCACCGGTACCGGAAGGGGCACCGGCGATCTAAACAAGGTAAATTGCTCCCAGATGAGACGGGAACACGTGTACGCCCCTGAGGTGGTTTGAACTGTATCGGAAGAGCAGTTGACGTACAGCCAGCAACAAGTGCGGTCGTCGGTGTCGCGAATCTCGCGTAGGCGGCGAGCATGAAGTGACCCGTGCAACGTATTGAGACGGCTGCAATTCCGGGCACCCTCGTCGTCTACCAAGCCGGCGAGACCTTCAGCGGCACCCGTCAACTCCCCTACGTGCACCAAGAGCTGGCCTGGTCCGTATGGAACTTTTTATTGTTACTTTTTTTTAAACTGTTAAATTGTTTACCCAGCCTTTTTTTTTTTAATCTGTGTAGTGTGCGCTGCGTCGCACGTTTAAATTCTAAAGCGCCACCATGATCATTTTGTTAGTTTCTTTTCTTTATTTTGCCTACTCTCCTCTGTAATGCTCTTGGCACTGTAGCAACTGAATAAATGAACCACTTCTTTCATCTTGTAGTTTGAAGACAAAGCAAGAGGCATAAAATTACTCTCATTTCACTGTTCCTGCATATTTGAAATAATATTTGTTGTGTGGTAATAAACATTTCTCTCATAATACTAATTTTGTTCAGTTTAGAATTTGGCGATACAATGAGATGGCATGACTACATCGGTTACCTTAAGCTTCAAATCTGTCTCCTGTTAAAGTCTACCTCACAGCAACCCTGGCGGGATCCTCTGTGCGCTGCAGTTGCTGCTTGCTCCTTACGAGCCGGGCCTGTTCTTTTGCCGTGACTGCAGCATCGGCCCCAGCCCCTTCGAACATCAATTCTCTCACGGATCAGATGTCGGCGCTGTTTTTGGAAAGTTGTCAGCTGTTAGGACGCTCGCACCATCCGTGCTGCCCTTATGCGGAAGTTGTCGGCTGAACCTTCCGGCGACGCTGAACTCTTTACAAAAGTTAATTGGAGCGCGAAAACTTGACACGATCACTCACACACGCACACACCCATGCATCAAACACACAGCGCTCACTTCCAACTGATTTATTCATAGCTCGAAGGCTTGAATATATACAGGACACATTGTGCGCACACACACCAAAGAAGGCCGAAAAAGTGAACATTGGCCAAACCGAACGGTGTATTAATGATCGATTAAGGGAACACGCCCAAAAATTAACGAAAAGAGATGACAAGTATGCGCACCTGGTTGCGCATGTCATCTCGTGTGGTTGTGAAGCACGATTTTCTAAAACGAAGATTCTGGGCAGAAGCGCAAGTAAAACTGCACGTGAAGTGTTAGAGGCCTTTTTTCATTGAAAAAAATAAAGATCACTGTGTAAGCGCCCCTTCAATTTCGTTGTTACCATGCAAACTTCAGTTTATCTCTCTAAGGCTATGACATTGATTAACTGTACGTTTTGATAATGAATGCTGTTGGCCTTCTTTGGTGTGTGTGCGCACAATGTGTCCTATATATATTCAAGCCTTCGAGCTATGAATAAATCAGTTGGAAGTGAGCGCTGTGTGTTTGATGCATGGGTGTGTGAGTGATCGTGTCAAGTTTTCGCGCTCGAATTAACTTTTCTAAATGCTCTACCAACTATCCCAACAACAAGTTCCTTTGAACTCTTTACGCCCACGTGTGCCCATCACGTGATGGTTGTTTACATCCCTCCTTTACCTGCCGACCAGCTTGACGGCTTTCCTTGTCTGAGAGTGACGCGCGCGTACAGGGTCGGGCCGAATTACCCCATTTTCCATCCTCTCTCCTTCCATTCTCTCCTACTTTCCTTGCTCTCCCGCTGCCCGATGGGATGACCCCCACTGAGAGGGACAGTTACAGCGTTGCACTTTTTTCTTAATTTTTTTCTCATTCAAAACCGCTCCGTTCGCAAGAGCGGGCTCTGTGGCACAGCTGCAAAGGGCTGAACGACGTCACTGACGCGCCGCTCCCAATGGCGTGCGCGCATGGATGCGACATGAACAACGACGTAACCGAGGGAGCAGCCAATGGAGACCGTTCTCGTTTCTCGTGGCGAATCGCTTTTCGTTTCGACTAGCGCTATACAGCTTTCTCTGCGAAAAGCGACAAGGCCAAAGTCTCCTCGCTTCCGTCCACGTCATGTCCCAGCGCTCTTTTCAGAATTTCACTGTGTACCCACACGCCAGCTTTGATACTGTATATCAGTGTTCAACATCTACGGCGTACGTGACCAACTGCAGCTTGCCTGCGCGGTTGCAATGATTCGGCTGTGTGTCATCGCACTTCCCCGAGCAAGTGGAACTGTACGTATGGCAACCCTTGTTTCAGGGAGCCGTGCCCTGGGTCACCTCGACCAACAGCCGCGTGTATCCCACCCTACTGGAGCACCTCCCAAAAGAAAAATGTCATCGAGAAAAAGTCTGACGTCGCCACGCCTTCGACTCAAGAACACGGCAGTGGCGAGTATGGCATCAAGGAGCAAATGATCAGCTTCACTCGTTTTCTATGTTTGCATAGTGAAAGGGCTCTGTTCGTGTTGCTCCACATGTACATATGTTGCTCTTATTAGATTACAGTAACCAGAGCGTCCCAGCATTTTGAGCAAGTTGTTTCAAAACATCAATTTTCACTGTAGCATCTATGAACATACGATAGCAGCATGGGCAACCGCTTCTGGTTATTTTGTCGTATCCGTTACGCCATCCCCCCCACAACTATAGTTGTTCCCAGCTTTGCTGTCGAGGAGGTACGGTACCCACTTTTGAAACAGGACAGTGTTGGACAGAGTCATGCACATGCTTTCGTTTCTGTCTTCAGTTTCGGCCCTATCAGCTTAATTTCGACTTGAACGCGCAGATTAGAACCAACGTTATCTTGTAGAGCATATTCGTAGCTACATGAACAATCTCGTCCAATTGCGCATGCCCGTCATTATACTAGACAAATTTGATGTCACGTTTGAATCACTGTGTACTGTACCTTCATACAGTGTCAAATGCTATTCTTAGTGAAATTATTTATTGGCATCGCAACTATTGTAAGAAATAATAACTAATCTGTTTGAGCACCACTCAAGCAGGTCACCGACTACCAAGGAGGCAGGATAGTGTTCTAAACTAAGACTGGGCCACTGCAATTGTGTTAATCTATTAGCTTATACGTATTCCATCTCAAAGTGACGTGATAACCAAGAGTGGTATATACATACAAGGCTCAAGTTTGTTTCTCTAAGATGACGATTCCTATATAATATAGTAAGTGAGAAAGAGCTCGAGTTGAAGTTTTCTTTGCGGTTTTAATTGGTCTATAATGTACACATAGTAAACAGTGTTGAAATCATTTATGCAAGGAAGGGCACTCAACCTCTTTAAGGAGATGTGCAAGGTATTTTTTTTCTACATCAGATCAGCTTTCCGACTCTCAGGTGCACATACGCTTTGTTGCAGTTGACAACCACACTTGCAAGGTTTTAAAATCTAACATACAGTAACAAGTCACTGTTTTCTACTGCTATCCAACCACACGTTTCTGGTCAACAGACATGTCGGCTGCATCTAGCAATCCAGAGAGAACACCCGCAATAAATACTGCTCCAAAATGAGATTTCGAAACAATACTTTATGAGAACTCCACCGGTAGGTTAAATAAAAAATAAATGTCAGTTTTAACGAAGAGTTGTTTGTGGAACAGTGAAGGGTTCAGTTATGAAGACAGTGAGTAGGCAGGTAGATGCGTGAAACTTGAGTGGCATCTCCTTCACGACTAGCGTCTCGAGGACTGTGAACATGGTTGTGCTGACATCAGTTACTTACGACGTAGTACAGCATTGCGAGAAAATAACACGGCTCACAAAAAAGGTGCGTCTAGAGATTACGCTTTGTTAAAAAAAGTAAGAATATTGCGAGTGTGCCATGTACAGATAAGGTCACAGATGTTTCTTCAGTTTAAAAGTAGCTACCTGCAATTCTAAAACTGGAAATGGCTGACAATCTGATGGAACTCTCGAATAATTTCTAACACCAGGACAGGCTACGTTTGCTTATAATGATGCATGTGTTGAAGGCAGTGTAGCTTTTACATTTATATTATGCAGAAGGTGAGAAATTCCTAAAAAATTAAATACTGGCACGGTTTAGCGTAATTTGCAGACTGCCGCTTTATTTTAGAGGAGTGCTTTCCATATTGTATATCTTTTTTACATTGATGGTGTGCGCGGAAAACACCATGCTGCTGCTTAGGTTCGAACACATTCAGTGAGTTCATAAAAGCGTAACGCCAGCATTGTGTTTTCTAAATATGAATGACCATACGCCGGAAAATTCACACAAAAAAGACAAGCGAGAACAAAGCCTCGATTTTTCTAAACCCTCATATTAAAACTGTACGACTTACTTTAACACAACTGGAGAGAAAGATGAGGAAGAAAGATCATATCCCACAAACAACTTGCGTGCTTTAATAATGTCAGCTCAGATTCTGTCTCTGAGGGATGCACTGGTGTGACAGCCAGAGCAGTTTTCATAGTCAACAATTAATGCTTAAGTAAAAATGAGAAAAATAAAAACACAGTTAACAATACAGACAAGAATGATGAATAAGCATGTCATGAGTTTATCTTACAGAAAAAAAAGAACACCATAAATAGGTTTACAAGTTTCAATAGGCTAGTCTTGCACTTATCCCCAGCTGAGGGTAACACTTGTTACAACAATAAACCAATGAAATATAGTACAGAGATTTCACTCAGATATCTCGGAAATTCTTACAATAAAGACCTAAAGCAGTTATAGACTATCATTTCCCCATGCCTATTAGGGTGGAAAAGCTCCTCAAGAAAGTTTTCAGTGAGGTTTTTTTTTCTACTCGAGTCGCATAAATACGCTAAGTCTGAAGCTGGCGACAAAATAAAAAAAATATGTACGTTACTGGAAGAAAACGGATAAATTCGAAAACAAAAGTCATTTGAACACACTTGTTAGCACTGATGAAGGAAACAGACCCACTGAAAACATCTGAAACTGGGTCATTGTACACTGAAAATAATGCCATGCCTTCAAATGTAACATCACAGACTAGATTGTATGTTTACAATGGTTGAGCATGTTCATACGACAATAAAAAGGAAATCAATAAACGGAGGCTGGTTCTGGCATGGGATAATGTCGGGTGGGATTCAATGGCCCATTATGACACGATAATCAGATACAACACCTAAACTTTAAACTGACTGCCTGCCATGTCCAAAATCTTCACTAGGTAGGCAGGCAGTTCAAGGTAGTACCGCAGCAAAATGCCACACAGCCAAGATAAAAACGGTCTGCGAAGGGGTGCATTCGGTGTCTCGATTACAGTATATCTTGTAACTGTTTCTTTTTGCCCGTGGTTAGCAAGTACCCAGCTGTATAGGAAGAAGCAGAGGCGGCAGCATGGCAACACTGTTGCAGTTTAGCTATGTGCTGACAATGCACATTTCAATGCACTACTTAAGCTAACAAGAGTGGCAAAGTGAGCTTGTTGGTAGATGACTCAGACACTCAAGCCGTTACAGATGACACCATACATAGGGGCTCACCATCTTCGGAAAGTTGCCTGTTTCATGTCACACCTATGAACACACTGATATTATTCCAGAAGGGGAACAAATATTTGCTTATATATGCAAACACTTGCTCCATATTTAGTCGATCTCTGTGCTACATCATTTAGATTGCTACACTGTACAGAGTTTGCTAACTTGCTTCAGATTTCCCCTCTTAGACCACTTGGGTGTGACATAATAGCTGTACATAAAGGGACAAGATAAACAGCCCCATGTTTTTTTGAAGTGTAGAAGGAACAAGTGCTCGCGCTGTGGCAAGCATCCATTAGCAACAACGGCCAGCATCACCTGGTTGCAGCCATGAGATACAAGTGTGACACAGAAAAAAAATGATGAAGCTGAACTGAAACTTATCTAAAAGAAAACCACAAGGAAGTTGTCAAAGGGGGAAACACGGTTATACACATATTCGAAATTGCAAAGTCCAATATATAACATGAGCGCGGGAAATGGACCACAACACGTAAAACAAAGAGGGTGATGGCGGCGATGTGATTCTCTCCTCCAGTTTTTTTTTTTCTTGCCTCCTCACCATGTTCCCATCATCGTTCAGAGCTAGATCACACATCCCTCCATCTCTCAAGGGACAAAAATGATGCAAAGAGGAAAAACTCTGAATGCTGCCGAAAAAAGCCGTCAGATAAAGGAATAAAACAATACAAACAAACACACCCAGGCGCGCTCACACGCAGACACACACACGCACACATGCACGCACTCTAGGTAGCGCTGCAGGAGGTCCATCACAGCGGCGATTTGGCGCCTCTGCATTGCACATGAACAGTACATTGACACACTACAGTACTGCGTATTTAAATAAAAAGCGGGCACAAATAGAAGAACATTGAGGTCTGGTGGGGTGGGGGGCACAGTGGAAGAGGCAGTAGGCAGGGGGATGCGTACAAACATTGCACTTGGGAGGAGAAACAAACAACACTTCTCGTTTCCAGAACTTCGTGGGCATCGTATCTTCGCGTTCGCGGGGTTTGTTCTATATAAGTCCAGGTGTACAGCGCGGCGTGGGAGAAGGTGACCACCAACACGCCCTTCCGTAACTTGGGTTTCTTTTTTCCAGGTCTCGCAGCCTGGGCGAGGATTGCATGACGGCAGAGTTCAGGTTTCCATAAAACTGGCCGGCGACAGTGACGATCGCTTGCCGTGGGAGTCACCGATGCCGTTGGACGACGGCATGCGCGCCATCTTGCCCGACAGGGTGCTGACGAGCTCGCTGGCGCTCGGAGAAGACGTCATCGCTGATGACGGGGCGCCCAGCAGCGACGCCATGCTGGTCGGACTGACGAGACTCGGTGGAGTGTCCAATAGACCCAGCCCACCTTCGCGGTACCTGCGCAGAGCCAAAAGAAAGGGCTTGTCATAAAGAAATGTTCCAGGAATGAAGACTTTGGCAAAAGCGGGCATTTCACAAAATTTATCCTATGGCGTGCACAAGTCAACACTTAGCGGACACTAATTTGAAAGAACAAATGAGTTTAAAGAGATGAATTTCATTTTCAAAGCTCTACTACCATTGTTAATTTGTAAAGTGCTTTCAGAGACAGGGATGCCATTAATAAATATTGGGGTACCCCAAATTTTCACCTTTAAGAGTTCAACGCGATAGCGATATCCTGTTCCTAGTACGTGCTTCAAACACTTAGTGGATAAAACCTTTTCAAACTTGCTATGCACCGACTACGTGGCCTTGAAGTAATGGGCGCAGTAGCCTGTGTGCCTTTTGTAGTGGGTGACCAGCTATAAACCATGGGCCCATTATGATAATCACATGTTCTGACACCCGCTGGCAATGGGCACTTCTACCGCACATTATTACTGCAATATTTCATGTTGCAATGTGCAGCATGTATACAGACGTGTGTTTGCAAAACATGAAAGCTACTTCCACTGCGTTTCAACTTCTTTTCATTTTATTCACAAGCACAAGCACAACCCTGTAGTAGAACATCCACTTGCCATGCAAATGACTCTGATTAAATCCCCACTCAGACCCAAACGACACTGGTTCAGTACCCAATCTGAACCCGGAATTTTTTTATCATTTATTTTATTTGTATTGTTCTCGATGTTTTCGTGACACGTAGGATGATTTTTATCTTATGCATGAGGATGTTTATTCTCTTTCTCTGGCTCACAATCAACGAGGCTGACGCCAATGCCAGAAACGCTGAGAATTGAGCTCTTTAATGATATTCTGTTAAAAGAGAGGCAATCACATTAGGCAACAAAAGATAGTTCACTGTTTCAGGTGAACATCCCCACCATTTATTAAGACAAACCCAACTTTTAATACCGCAAACAGCAGCAATGTATTCTTCACGACAATAATCTAGCTATCATCGCGTTTGCGGGTCTGTGCTTTACATTTTGTTTTACACTGTACCTAATACGCTTGATGTCTAGCACTGCGGTTAACATAAGCAACTTGTTCAGTTGGTTTTATGCCTATGACCTCCGTTACAGGTAATCGTAACACAAGTTTTATCGATGCCAGAACATATTTCTGCATCTTGCTCTCATTGCACTATCATTTCTATTTATTTGGGAGCACTCCGGCCGGACCTTATTACGCATTGACAAGCCTTGTGCACTTGAATATCACTTATCTCACAATTATATGATAGGAGGCCATGGTGCGATAAGGCTATGGACAAAATTATGGCATTCATTGCGATACTCACCTTCTAGCCCTCATAAGGGACTTGTATTCGGAGATGCGCAGCTTCTTGCCATCCACGATGCAGGTGCGCTTGGGCCGCGGTCGGTACCGGTAGTCTGGGTGCTTTTCCATGTGCAGCTTACTCAGCCGTGACTGTTCCTCGTAGTAGGGCTGCTTCTCAGAGTTGGACATGCCCTTCCATCGAGCGCCTGCACGTAACATCAAACACCAGTTAGGAGTTGCCACCTGTAATTTTAAATAAAGTGTTCCACAGACACACACACTAAGAAAGCCAACTAAAAATATAGTTTAAAGAACTAAAACAGACAAACTAGTGTTTCCGAATTATACTGCCGGTAGTTTTCCAATTATGGGTCCCTTATCAGAAAACCAAATGGAGGCTGAAGCTCCAAATTCTTTTTCGAATTTTGCCATCACATAAATGTGAATTACAGTTGGTCTGCATGAAGCCGTAGATTTTAGACATTTCCTTTATTTTTTATCGTATTTGGCAGCGTTTGATCATTGTAATTGTGGAAACTTGCCACATTAGACAGCCTGCTTTTTTTAGCACCATATAATTGATCTTCAATAATTAACAGAGTTGTCAAAGTCTGTTAGGTCATGTCAACTGTGTGCAGATTTAAAGGTCTATTTACAACCACTTTTTTTTCTTTTTGCACTCCTCTAGGATTTAAGGCAGTGTTATCTGCGCCAAGGGCAGTGTTTTTTGCCATTTTGACGATACAGTTTGTGCCGATGACGTGCCTGTTGCTGCTTCGCACTATGTCTGCCTCCCGACAACAGCAATAATTTTTTCCACCATTATTACCGTAACAGTTACGCAACATATAGTATTTGACCCCTTACCTAACTAATCTAATTAGAAACAATGACAACAAAGAAACACGTTCTTACCGAGTATTTTCGAAATGTTTGAGTTGTGCATGTCCGGACAGGCCTTGAGAATTTTGCGTCGTTCGTCTTTCGCCCAGACCATGAAGGCATTCATCGGCCGCTTGATGTGGGGTTTTCCGTCCGGATCCTTCTTGGTCTGTCGTATAATTTTAGCACCGACTATTTTGCCTGCGTGAAGGGAATACAGAATGCTTGGCGTCACTGTAGGGGTACATATAGTGCACTACGCCACAACAATTAACAACACGCTAGTGCTTATATAGCGTAGACAGGAAGGCTACTATTCCACTGACACGATCAATGTGTGGCCTAGTTCTACGGTATATTCAGGTATTCACTCTTAACCAATTACACAAGAATAAGAAAAGCCGGTGGTTTGTGCTGAGGAAAAATGCTTATTTCTGTATTCCAAAAGGAAGCATGACGCAGTGTCGTGAAGCAGAGGAACAGGGAAATAAAGAAGAAAAGGCCGTCTACAAATGGGTACTACACATTTCACTGAGGTGAGCGTCTGTACAATGTGTTTAAAAACTTTAGACGGTCAAACTTATTCTAGGTTTTAAAACTAAATAATAAGTAAAAAAATTATGATATTGGTGACAACGATCATAATATTGCACAATCGAAGCGCAAGCTATGCTTCCGAGCTATAGTAGCGCAGGAAAAATGCTCACTTGATCCTTTGGTGTCGGTTTCAGAGGCTGAGCTGTCGTTATCGCGGCGGGGAGCGGAAGACGAGGCCGGTGGCCGCGGTGGAGCACCACCAGTGGCGCCGGTGGACTGGGGCAGGTACAGGTGCAGGGGAAATGGTTTGTCCGGCCCCACCAGGGAACCGGGAGCCCCCAGTTCCTTGGGACCAAGGCCGCCACCGGACAGCAGGCTACCTGCAAGGGGACACACAAACAACATTAGCGCCAAGCCCGTCTTTTATGGGTTACTGTGCAACATTAACAAATGGTCACTTTAGCAGCATGGGGGAAGCACTGAATGCGATAGAAACCAATTGGAATTTTCTACGAAGTAAGACTAGTAGCTTCCTTCTTTAAAATTCAATCTCCCGGAGCTGTGCAAAATGCTGGCGTAAGGGAATGCAACCACTCCAGAGAGCGAGGTGGCTTTTGCGCTGTTTGTTGCTTTGAACGTGAAAGGCAGTAGGGAGCACAGAACAGATGAGGGTAGGAGCCATATACTAATCTGTGTTGATATTACTTGCAACTGCGCAATCTTTTGGTGAAAGTTTGCAATGGCTGCTTGAAAGACGTAGTCTTCAACACCAGCAACCCTTCCTGCTCCTACGACGAATGGAGACGGCCAGCACGTTTTATTTCTGCTTGAGCCGTGCCCGTCAGCAGCCTTCACAAGCTTTCACTCGCACATCGATTAGACACTCTGGGCGATGTGATCAATTACGACTTTATATAGTGGAATGTAACGGCGACGGCAAAAATATGGCACGAGAGTCTGCTAACGTATTATTGCTATCACAATAAAAGTTTAAATAAAGTTTCACGAATCTTGTCGCACATTCCTAGACAAATCACATTGGGCCACCTTTTTAGTACCAACAAGTTCGGCAGGTTTGGTGAGTTAGTAATGCATCAAGATTACAGAAAAAGGCAAATACGAAAGGTAGAGATGTGGCATGCGCGAATAAAACAGGGTTCTCAGTAACGTTTCTTCATGTTATGACTCTTCAGAGCTAACGCCAAAATTTGTCCTAAAGAAGCATCCGCTGCTTCTTGACCTTCTCAAGTTTGACAATATACACTTGACAGCCTCGGGAGACAAAGCATGGGCAGGCATTTTAGGTTGCTCCCAATGAAAAATAGAAGACCGGTACATCTTCCTGATCAATTCAATTATTTACTTCCTTTATACTACAGAGATTTGTTTAAAATGCAGAACTAATCGACATAAGAGGGTTTAAACTGTACTTTTGCAGTTTTCCACTTAGTTTTATTGCTTCAATGGAAGATTCTTTAAGCTGAGATATGTGAGACACTCGCTCATCGCTAGTATTATTACTATTACAGATACGTAGTGCTTTGCCTGTTTAAAAGCAGTCTCCAAGTGAACTTGCTCAGCGACATTACTTGTGGACAGCAATGTGCCACATACTTGTGTAGGAGGGAAGTGCAGGGTGGCCCATCAAGCTTGAGAGCGACTACTGGGATACCAGGAGGATGTCTGAGAACAGGAGGAAGACCTGGGTAGGCTGCTGCAGCTGTCAAGAACGGAGAACCAACCTGCGCGAGAATGAAAGCAAAGGTGTGTGAGAGCAAGGAATTGCGCACTAACAGGAATGTTTATCATTTTGTTGAAGGCGTCTGATAAGAATGCAAATAAATGGAGAGAAACAGCAACATAGTAATTACCGCATAAATACTAGCTGCCAAGCAGTCATCACTTATAGTCTTCGGCTCGTTCAGTAGGGCTAGTTCACATATGTGAACAAGCGCACTGAAACACCTAGAGTGCAGCATCCTACACAAACTTATTTTAGGTCACGTCTAGAACATTCAGTTCTTTGCCTGCTACATCAGGGATTGCTTAAATAAATGGTCAATTTTTCTCACACATATACTTCGTCTATGCTCACTGTGTCCATAGATGCAAAGGCATTACAGAATTCGCGGGAAATTCCAAATCTGATTGCCACACAACTGAGCTTTGTGAAATTTTGTTGCAGTGTCATTTGCATAATTCATCCCTTTCGATAATGCCCAACTTGGGCCTTACAGGTATATTTAGTAAATAAATGAAATAAATCAATAAATAAACAAATCCTGAGTGGCACTTTTCAGTGGACCTTTCTTGTAGTCTCATAGTGCGGAACGCTCACATAAAATTCAACTACCGTAATTACTCGAATCTAACGCGCACCTTTTTTTCGGGTAAGCGAGTTCATAAATCGCATGCGCGTTAGAATCGAGTACGAAAAAGAAAATGAATATGGTCATTCTATTGCCATCAGCATTTCGAAATGGCCGCCCCCTACGTGCGTGGGCATGGCCCTTCGGCCATTTCCTCCTATGTGTTTCCCATGTGCAGCACTTCGTACGTGTGCTGAGGAGTTCGTCATCTTGTAATGCATTAGCATTGACGGCATGGAAGGGCCAACTCCAGAAACTCGAGTGCACCACGATGCCGCTTTTAAAAGAAAAGTCATCACGTGTGCAGAAACGGGCGGAAATCGGGCCGCATCGCGGTCGTTCGGAATTTTCAAAACGTGCGTGCGAGACTGGCGGAAACCAAAGCACAAGATTGTCGACAGCAAAGCTTCAAGCGAAGGCTTCAGTGGACCACAGCAGGGTGGGTTTCCGCAAATTGAAGAACTGCTCGGCGAGTATGTGCTTGAGCAGCGAGCGGCACAGCGGCCCGTGACGACAGAACTTCTCCAAGTACGGGCTATGCAATTAGCCTTAAAAAAAGGTCTAACGTGGAGACAGTTTAAAGCGAGCAGGTGCTGGCTAACTAACTTTATGAAGAGGAAAGGCTTTTCCCTCCGAAGGTGAACGGCCATATGCGAAAAGTTTTACGGAGGAGTATGATGAAAAGCTTCACAGTTTTCAGAGGTTCGTTCTAAACTTGTGGCACAACAACGGGGCTACCTGCTTGGGGAAATCGGGAATGCCGATCAGACGCCTTTTTATTTCGACATGTCTGGCACCACCACACCCGTCGAGAAGGGGGCGAAGAAAGTCCGCGTGCTGACATAGGTCCACGGTAAAACTACAGTGACGGCAATGCTCTGTTACACGTCAGATGGGCACAAGCTTACCCCGTACCTCATATTTAAATGGAAGACGCTCCCGAAAGAAGTTGTTTTTTTCGAGTAGTGTGATTGTGCGAGCCAGCGAGAAAAATGGGTGCGCGTTGCAATTGATGTCTTTTTTTTTTTTTTTCGTCGTGGAAATCGGGTGCGCGTTACAATCGAGGGCGCGGTAGAATCGAGTAAATACGGTACATACACGCACACTTATGCCTCATATGCTCAAGCTTCGCATGAACTATAGCAACTTGGAGACAGGCTTTGTTGACTTTCTCTGAGATTTGAAGCTATTAACAAAAGTCTGTACTTAAGAGCTGATGTCCTGAGCGATATATAACCACGTAGGAAAAAGGCAGGCTCACCGATATGGGGGCGCTGGCAGCAGTGGCACTGAGAAGGCTGGCTGCGGAGTGAGGCGAGATTCCTGGGTGAAAGCCTCGGGGCGATACTGAGCTGCGGCCTGAGTCCCTGGCCTCGTGCTTCACGCTTGCAGGCGTCGGGCTCCCGCTTACGCTGCGACAGAAGCAAGCGGCAAGCAATAAAAATGGTGAACTAGCTCACACATCATGCCTGCAGTCTGCACTTACTGCAGGAAAGAGCTCTTTCTTTTTGTCTTGTTTCAGGAGATCAGAGAACCCAAAACATTTCGAAAGGATGCATGCACTATCGTAGTTTACACTCTCGACCGATAAAGAACTATTTCCCCTGTAAGTTGCAAGCGGATAACTTAACTGACCGTATTTCATTACCACATTTATATTAGGGTGAAACAGAGCAAGAGATTAGCGAATTAGGAGCACTTTGCTTTAGACAAAGACGTGCGTGTAATTAATAAAAGACTTCGTCGCCTTTGTGGGTGTGTGGTTCGGCAGTACACAGCTGTATAGATAGGGTGCGTAAATTATAGGAGAAATAGAACAGCGCATACTCAGGACAAGTGAAGAGGACAGACGTGGTACTGACTGACAACCAAAGTTTACTGTAAGTGAAGTGCAATATATGGGAAGCATTATTCTGCACAGATATCAAAACAACATGACAAATGCACATGATTTATGGTAAGCTTTGGCTGTTAGTCTACCTGTCCGAGCAGCGTAACTGTGGGGTGACACACTGGGCCCATGCCAGCTCTCGCCCCCCTCTCCCGAAAAAAAGTTCTGCCTACGCCTCTGATCTGCCCACTTCACTTGCCTTGTGCAAGAGCTGTTTCATTGCTCTAACCAGCTCAAGCAGGCACACTGCCGAAATTACAAGAACTTGCTTCCAAAACGATCATCGCTTCGACGAATACACGATGGAATAAGGTGATGAACAGGAGCAGATTTGTATAGATGCATTCAGTTTGCGTAGGCGTGCACGATAGTACATGCCTGTATATACGAGCGTGTACCTGCTGGCAGTGCTGCCCGATGAGCTTCCTCGGGGCTTGCTGAGGTTGAGCGGGGTGTCAAGGTCGGGTGCCGGGTCCGGTGCCGCGGCACTGGGTGTGGGCGTCCGGTTGCCCGGACAGGAATTCCCGGAGTGACCTCCTCCGTTGCCTGGCACAAGCCGCGCAGCAGGCGTTAGCGAACTGCCCGAAAGCGGCAGAAAAGGTGCTCCACCCGTCACCCACGGCTGCAGCGGAGACATGGCCGCCTGAGAACACGAACAGACGTAGAATATAGTTAGCGACATAACCGGGTCTTGAAGCTGTTTCGGAAGTATCCACACTCATTGCAATGTTTAAACAGCATCAGCCACAACGTTCTCGGTCAATACACACACACACTAGGATGCAGGAGGCAAATAATATGGCCACAAGTGGCGCACACAGGCAAAAGGGGTGCCATGATTATTTGTAGAGGCTTGACGTCCCAAAACTACAATATAATTGTGAGGTACATTGTATAGTGGAGCTTCAGAAATTTCGGCCACCTTGGGTCCCTTAACGTAGGCATGAAACTAAGCGCACGGGACTTTAGCATTTTGCTTCCTTCGAAACATGGCTGCCGAAGCCGGAATTCCATCTCGCGACCATCGGATCAGCTGTCAACACATCAAACACCATATGCACTGGACTAGCGCCGCGGGTCCATATATAGCCACCCCCATCGCGGTGGTCTAGTGGCTAAGGTACTCGTCTGCTGACCCGCAGGTCGCGGGATCAAATCCCGGCTGCAGCGGGATTACTTCTGATGGAGGCGGAAATGCTGTAGGCACGTGTGCTCACATTTTGGTGCACGTTAAAGAACCCCAGGTGGTCGAAATTTCTGGAGCTCGCGTTTCTCATAATCATATGGTGGCTTTGGGACGTTAAGCCCCACATATCAATCGATCAATCAATATATAGCCACACAATGAAAGTTCTGGTGAAAATATCCGCTTTCCTTAACATCTTTCGAGTGACCATATATTTCATGAATATTTCATTCAGTGTTCATGAAAATCAGCATAACCGCTCGGCCCTGTCCTGGTATTGCACTGGTGCGCGCCTACTCCGATCACAGTGCAATACGTTCGGCCATTTATATATGGGCTGTTTTGAGTCACCTCCTGGTGCAAATAAGACAACGCATTACAAATTCAGACTTATACCATGATCGGTATTCTCCGTAGATAACTTTTTCAGGCCAACATTATTTTCGCGAAGTTTTGTTCCCCATGCAACCTCTAGCTGAGACGTAGCGACAAGTTGTGATACTACGACAGCGACGTAAATCGAGAATACGGTGCCATTTTACAAGCAACTGATATTGTCTCTCCGGGTACCAGGCTGGACATGGGAAGCACGCTACGATCGACAAGCTCTTTCCCAGTGCTTTCGAGCAGGCTGCTGCTCTCAGGCGCTTGTACAGCATAGGACCATGATATAGTACTGAAAAAATGTCGATAATGCCCAAAAGGGTCTCATCAGAATACGCGAATGTTCTATTAGAACAGCTGACACCAAGGCTTTTCCTGCGCTCCTGACAAGAAAAATATTTTAAAAACATCACAGCATATTCATGGAGTGCAGGATGATGAGTGGGGCAAAGCATCCGTCAGCCTGTCCGCACTTCTGTCCGTTCGTTCGTTCTTGCTTCTGTTTGTTAGTGCGTCCGTCTGTGCGACCTCCATGCGTCCATTGTCACAAAACGAGCGCTCAAAAAAGGGCGCGCCACCGAATTCTCGCGACGAAACGCCGGAGTGACGCCGCGAGTCAACGATAAAAAAAAGAAAGAAAACAAGCATCCAAAGACTCCCGGGCCACGCGTCCCTCTCCCCTCGGAAGCGTAGGATCTCCGACGAACCTCCTCACCCCACATCGGCGGCCGAGCAGGCCCTAGGAGATTCTCGATGGAAAGGGGCGTGGTGATGCCGGGTTGCGTCATCCGTCGCGGACGACCTTCGAACCGTCTCGCCCTCTCCCAAGCCTTCGCTGCGTATCGCGCCTACGAAATGATGAGAACTTTCTGGAATCTCGCGCGGAAGGTATTTAATCGAGCAGCCGAGATGAGAGATCAGCAGAAGAAGAAAATTAACGCCAGAGTGCGTAGGGTATCCCGCCGCGTCTGTCGGTGAAGGGTTTGTCCTTAGTGGCAAAGCAGGAGAAGAAGAAAGTATGCGCCAGAGAGCGTAGGGTGTTCCACCTTGTGGGCGAAGCCTTTTGTCTTCCGCGACAAAGGAGGAGAAGAGGAGGATTTCCACCTGAGGGGTGACGACTCGAGCTACAGGCAAGAGTGTGTGTCTACCGCTATCGAGCGAAGACGCGTGGCAACAGCTGCGAGTGTGAAGCCGACGTGTTTCCGGCGAAGAAGTTTGAAGCTTGGAGAGCGGCCAAGTGAACACGTGAGGTTTCCTGGAAGAGAAACTTCAGGGGGGGGGGGGGCAGCGGAACGACAGAGGTTTCCTGGAAGAGAAACTTGGGGGGCAGCGGAACGACAACAACGCTGGACTTTGAGTGAGTGATTCTCGGAAGAGCATCATCCAGACTTTTGTTCCAAGAACTTTGGACTGAATAGGTTTTCTATCTCTTTAGTCTTTAAGTGTCTTGGTTGTTCAATGCATGCGACTGCATTGTAGTGCGTATTGTTATCTGTGTCCGTTGTTTCGAGTGTGGCTGATTGTACTGTGTAGTACGTTGTTTGATTGGTGACATATTGTATTCGACTATTGTGGAGTGTGCATACTTGTGTATTGTTTTTGATCTGCCATTATTGAGAATATAATTTTGTTTTGTTTATCAACCCTCGGCTCTGACTTGTTCTTTAGACCACAGCCGGCGTCCGCTGGCGCGCCAAAAAAGACCACTTCTAAATTGTCCACGCTTTCGTGGGGCGGTTCGGGGGGCCGATACTTCGGCCCTTGGAATTAGCCCGGCGATCGCCTCCCTAATTAACGGGACCCGTGACATCCATCCATGCGTCCGTCCATCCGCACGTCAGTCCGTTCGTCTGTCAATCCATGCGTACATTCCGCCGCGCGTCCATCCATCTATGCTTGCGTCTGTGCGTCCATTAATCCGTCCGTCAATCCGTGCATCTGTCTATCTGTCCGTCCATCCGTACGTCTGTCCATTTGTCCATCTATCTAGTGAACACTCCAAATACCACCATCTCGCATTTTTTTTCATCATATATTCATTATATAGAAGTACCGCCATCCAGCGGACATTCCAAAAACTAAACGAGAGGTCCACCTCGTTAAGTCCTTGGAACTCTTTTATCCTTTTTATTATCTTCTGTATCATTTCTTTCTTGTTTTTTTTTTCTCGTACCGTTTTTTTTTTTTGCTCGGCTAGCATGCGCCGTCCCTTCAGCCCTTTTTTTTTTTCCCGCCCATAGCAGCCCCCACTCTTGCTGCTGCTCCCAACACTTTTCTCCCCGATTTTCGGACGCGAGCGCGCGATTCTCGCAAAAGGAACGACGACACGGGCAGTAAGGCCGGGCTTCTCCCGATAGCCCAGCCTAGCTTAGTATAGCCATGGCCGGACTAGAGGAGCGGCAGGCACGCCACTCTCTTACGGCCTGCGCTTCGTGTCTAGTTCCCACATTTCACCACCTCTAGTTATGGCGCTGCGGCCCAACCCTCGCTAAGCCTTGCTAAAACCAAGGAGGTTACGCCCAGCGAGTTTAACGTGGCAACATTTTCTGGTTATATAGTGCTCAAAGCGCGTCCTTCTGTAATTAGTTTTCTTTTTTCATTAAGCATCATATTCAAGGCCAATTTTATTGGAGATAAAGTCATCGATACTCGTCTCAGTAGGTTATCAGGAACGACTATCTTTTAATTTATGATTAACGTGCGTGAGTTTCCTCCTCAACTCAAAAGAGTGCGCGCGTGCCGCTCCTCTAGTCTGGCCGTGGAGGTGGCTACCTACTACTACTACTACTACTACTACTACTACTACTACTACTACTACTACTACTACTACTACTACTACTACTACTACTGCATGCATCGCGGACGCACGATCCACGGCTTAAGAAGCTTCGCCCCTGAAAATTAGGTTCACACTGTAAACTTATGGCAGTTGATGTGTACGACATCGTGTTCCGTGCTAGAATCGGGCACACGGTCTAACGTGCGCGCGGCGTAGCAACAGTCATGCAGCGTCACAAAATCAAGTTCTTCATGGGCATCGACCAAGGATGCGAGTAATTGGCGAAACAGTAGAGGCACGCGATCGTGCGTATACTTCAGACGCAAAATTCGGTAGCTTGCACGTGCAACAACGCAATGTGCTCCCGCGTTCGTCATTAGAGATTCAAAATTTTACGATTTTCAACGGCGACGTCTCCGTCGCGGACGCGACGCAGGGCCATACGAACCGAGCACGGCGCCCGAATCACGTTTCTCTCACATGCCACACGCGCCGAGCCGACTAGACGGTTTCTTTCTCGAACCGCCGAAGTGTTTTTTCGCCCAAGCAGCCGTGAGAGCTCACGGTCGGCTACAATTCAATTGTGCCGCGAGGCGGCAGCGACGGCTGCATATTTGATACGGCGCCACCTCGCGGCGCCCACCGTTGTCCGCATTCGTGGAAGATGCACTCCCGTTTCCTTTTCTCGCGGCCGCACCGAATAGCGCGAAGCGGCGGCACAGAGCTAAGTGCTCGCAGGCCTCGGCAGCTGGTCCGGGCCACGCGCGCACAGTCCGCGCCTTTTGTGAGACCGGCGCGGAGCAAAAGCGTCTCTCTCTTATTCTCAGCCGGGAGCCTTCTCACTTATTCATCTCCAACGAGACGGGACCGCTTTGCGTTGATCTAATCACGACCTGCCGTCTACTACTCTCTCTCTCTCTCATTCTATCGGCTATTCCTTATTATCCTAGATTCTCTCGCCCTTTGCTCTTCTATACGGCGCTTCCTCTGGCAAGCTTCTGCAGCGCACTTGCCTCCTCTTTGCCATTTTTTTTTTCTCGAGAATCACGCAAAGCGCATGAAATCTGTCCGAAAGAAGCGCTTCCTCCTTGAAGGCATAGGCGAGCCAGTAAGAGCGGCGGCCGTAAATCTGGGATTCTTTTGATCCGACATCAATGGCGGAGCGACAGTTTTTTCGACGACCAGCGCGAAAGGGAAATAGCTAACCCGAGAAGCCGTAAGATATAGGAACGTATGCGCGTACGTTTGTTCGCAAGCGGAGTGTGTGTGCAGTTTACAAACGACAGTATCTAGC